AACCCTAAACGGTGTCAAGACTCAAAATACTAAAATAATTATTACCTATTTAATTGGCGTTTTTGACACCACTTGGGGGTCCAAATTTTCGGCTCTAAAATCATTATTCCTTGGCCAATTTTTTATTTTTTCAAGCTGATTTGAAGGCCATTAAAGCATTTGACCCAGCCAAAAAAGTTCCAGTTGTATATCTTTTACGGTTTATGCGGAAAGTCGCGTTAAAGTTGATGCCGTGGTGTCAGTAAAATGGCACAGATATATATATATCGTCTCGCTTTATATATAGTAAGATGATTGATGATGTATAATTTCAATGTAGTCCGAAGAGTCATAATTCTCTTCGCGTCCAAGAATGGCGTTCATCTGATCTCTAATTTTTATATAGTATTTAGACAGCAGTCAAAATATAAAGCAGAACAGACTGAAAAATAATTCTAACTTTTAGTCCAGAGCAAATTACGGAATCATGAGGTATATCCTAATTTTAAAACGTTGGACAAAATTGGTATCTTATTCAAAATCCTTAGCATACCTTAGTATAGCGTGCATTATACGTTTAACATGTTTATCTGATTATGTCGTGTAGTTTTATTGACTATTGATTTAATTAAATTTCTGATTTTTCTGAATACACTCAGGGATGACAATGAAGGTAAATAGATAAATTGACATTTCTACGTCATACTCATTGCTGTATGCAGTATGTATGTATTTTCTGTAGAGCGGTTGTTATAAATATCTCCGGGATTTCGACGCGGGATCATATTATCACTCAGCCCGGCCCGCTGTTAGATAAACATCTCAAGGTGATATCATCCCGCCCCGGAAATTTGTATAAACCCGGCCCGCTTTTTAGTCGTAACTGATGTTTATCATTCAATTCTCCGACTTACAATAATCAATGATACTGCTGATTAGAACTCGATAATAGTAGAACAGTTAGACGCGCGATCACGTGGGCGCGTCACGTGCGTACCACGTGCCACCAATAGCATACGCCGAGTCTATACCACGTGACACGAAAGCGCACCACGTGATATGAAACATCGTAACCGTCCACTTCTTTTACACGCAAATTCCTGGGAACGTTGCCAAAGCAGCTAATTCTTGGAATTTCTCCAACGCGTGGCGTGAGAAGTTGGCGACTAGCCAGCTACCCTTGTCCGTGCCCTAAAAATAGTATTGTTTTGCTTGCTCTCCTTCCAGCTCTTGTTCCTGCTAACGTTCAAGCTATTGCTCCACTATGACAGATCGGTTTGACATTCAGATTGATGAACTGCTTTCCAATCACTCTCTTCTAAAGTATAAATCCCTTGTCGAAATCGCCGGAGATAATTATAATCCATAAACACTTCACGCTCAGGGCTAAATAAATGTAATCCCTCAGCTGGCGCTTCGGGATTACATATTAACACAAAACTCGTGCGCTGCGCGCACTCGTATGTGTTTATCAGATCATCCCGCTAGCGCGGGATGATCTGTTATATAAACCCTTTGCGTGGCGGGTTTATGTTATTATAATTAAGACAGTGGCCAATTTTCCGACGGAATATCCAATTACATTGCATTGCTTCCAGTATTTCTGGCAAACAAAGCTACTCAAGGTTAACTTCGTGACGGGAATCCGATTATAGCTTTATAGTTATACCTTTTACTTTTTACTCCGAATAAACGTATGTTTTGCTGCCACGATAACTTGTTTCAGTTTTAAAACGTTTCTTCCTCTCTATTGTATCCAAACCTAAAACCAGAAATGACGTCAGATTATTCTACTACTTATATAGGCGGGACTGGATATGAGCAAAAAACCATGGTACATCTTGCCCCAATCAACCTCACCCTTGCAGCTTACATCATCATCCAGAACTCAATGATAATCTATCATTATCTCAAAGACTGGAAAAGACTGTCTTCCCTCCTTTTCATTCTCATCGCTGCTGCCGACATTGGAAGTGCTTGTTCAGCAATAGCCCGGGGATCAGTAACTCTGTTGTGCGCGAACAATGAACACTTGCCGTTGCCAACGTGGGTGTACGTGACAAACACTTCGTTTGGTTACTTTTTCTACGTAACCTCCACATTGTTCGTATTGGTTTTGACGATTGTTAAAACGATCACCTTAATAACACCAGAATGTGTGTGTGTGTGTGTGTCTGTCTGTCTGTCTGTCCGTGTGTAATTTCCGGTCGGTTATACAAAAAAAACGGTAAGAGTTACGGGACTGATTTTTTCGGTATAGTGTCGACAAAACTCTGATGAAGCCCATAGGAAATTTTTTAAAAAATCGGCCGGTGGTAAGTGGTTTTATTGATGGTTTTGTACCACAAATGTTACATAAAGTTGCTTGAGCAGAACGGCAAGAGTTACGGGGCCTGCTCTCTCTTTCTCTCGCTCTCTCTCATTACTGTGTAATATGTTATCTGCTGCATTTAAGTAGCGTCATAATTGGATTAGCCCGGAAGATTTGCTGTAATGTTATACCTTAAGCTTATTAGGGGAGGGAGTACTGTTAGTGTTTGGGGTCTGTTTGGACTGCAGAGAGAGAGAGAGAGAGAGAGTTCATACGACAATGTTATGCGTGTTTTCAAATATAATATGCGGGTGTGGTGCGGAGTTAACAAGGGTTAATTTCTATAACGATTTAAGCGGTTCAGGACGGGAGTGATGAGGTGTAATACTCGGTGTTCAGACCTTATGATCATGGAATGTGGTGCCTAATAATGATTAAATTATCCACAAGAAATAACTGATTATGAGATTATTGTTTAAGAAACTATTGGGTCACCTAATGCGGGTTTTGACTCAGCGGGTAATTACTCCTACCCTTTTTAACTGCGGCAGTGAAATCCCGGCCGTAGGCCGGGTTACACTAGTCAATATAATAAATCCATTCTACAGGCTCCAAGAGCGGGCTTTGAAGGTTTGCTTAGCTATATTTCCATCTGTAGGGCTTATTTTGATTTCGGTGGACATATGGCATTGGATAAAAAAATATCGGTCCCGTTGTGTGAAACTGGGTGCGTGGGAGTTTCTAATAAACTTAAGCTTGGTTGGCGAGGCCACCTTGGCCGAAATTTTGGGATCCATTATGAATCCTGGAACTATTGGTTCGCTCATTAGTATGACCCTACTTTCCTTTGAGTTTGCCATACCTGGTATACTTGTGCTTATTTGTATGTTTTTACAAATGTTTTACATCAAGCGTTCTCTTGGGCAAAGTGCAGACCCGCGACAAAATACTGCAAACCGGGCTAATCTCACAATATTTATGATATCCTTTCTGTATTTATTGAGCATATCTGTTTACTCTTGCAACGAAATCATTCTCCATTGTTGTTGGCCAAATAATAATCACCTATTGGATATTGACTATAGCTGGAACCTGGTGGCAAAATTCACCCTACCACTGGTAAATGCCGCACTGTTCCCGACCATCCTGATCCTGCGTAAAGCCGAGCTGAGAGTAATTTACAGAGGTTACATATCTACATTTGTACATCTGCCAGTCACGGTGTTCTGTAACATTCGTCACAGAGTCAGTGGGTACACATTTAGTACAAAGGATGAAGGGGTACACAGACATTAACTACAAAAAACTATCCGAGGAATCCGTATGGAAACGGATTTGTGTCAAACATAAAATAAAAAGAAAAAAGAGTGATGTATTTTAGATTTTGTAAAAGACAAAATGATGAAAAAAAAGGCAGAAAAAAACAAAATAAGGAAAAAATGTTTTCAAAGTTTAATGAAGGTTAGTTTAATTTGCGATCGTTTATTAAAAAGAAGAAAAATTTAATGTTTTGAGTGTTTGATAGTGTTAAACTCTGATTCATATGATTTAGAAATGTTTTAGATAAGAAAATAACGGATTATTCTAAATATTTGATTTTATAAAAGACAAAATAAGGAAAAAAAATGTTTAAAAAGTTTTATGAACGTTAGTTTAATTTGCGATCGTTTATCAAAAAGAAAAAAATTTAATATTTTGAGTGTTTGATAGTGTTAAACTCTGATTGATATGATTTAGAAATGTTTTAGATAAGAAAATAACGAATTATTCTAAAGATTTGATTTTATAAAAGACAAAATAAGGAAAAAAATGTTTAAAAAGTTTTATGAACGTTAGTTTAATTTGCGATCGTTTATTAAAAAGAAAAAAATTTAATATTTTGAGTGTTTGATAGTGTTAAACTCTGATTGATATGATTTAGAAATGTTTTAGATAAGAAAATAACGAATTATTCTAAAGATTTGATTTTATAAAAGACAAAATAAGGAAGAAAATGTTTTAAAACTTTTATGAACGTTACATAGTTAGTTAGTTTAATTTGCGATCGTTTATTAAAAAGAAAAGTAATGATTTGAGTGTTTGATAGTGTTGAACTCTGATTGATTCAAAAACAAGGAAACGGCCTTGTTTGTGACACAATTTGTTAGCCTGATATTAGACTATCGGATGATTTCATTAATTTGCTTAAGGCTCTGTTCAGTGTTCATAAATTAAATTTATTACTTTGACAAAATAATGAATAATGATTGATATAAAATTAATTACTGCAAAAATAAGCGTTTTAAGTTTTCGTGAAAATAAGAATATCGGGGGAATTTATTCAGTTTATTAAAGACATGCTAAAACTAATTCTAAAAATATGGTATGATTATTAAAATTATGTGCGTTTAAACAGATAAAGATTAACTTATTTCGCTTTTCCCACGGCCGGTACACACCCTAACATCAGAGATCTACACTCTTTCTCTATTTTTCATACTTTTAAGTACCGCTGATTTGAAATTATCTATCGCATAATATATCTATTTTTATAAAACTTGTAATACTTCATACTCACTTAATATCATACTCTCAGAAGTAAGTAAATAATACTTAAATCATTATAAAACTACATACTACAAAAAACATTTAAAACTACTTAAAAACATTTTAAAATAGTTATAAAATTTTCCAAATACTTCATTAACACTATAAAATACTTCATACTCACAGAAGGCCAGAGTAGTTGAAAGCAGGAATGGACAGGACCACATTGTGAGGTATAAATATAGCGTAGGCACAGCAGAACCCAACTTGAGACAGGCAGAGACTGACCTCAACCAGCCAGCGTCCGGTGTTACCCAGGGCAACCTGGCCAACATCCCCGTACTCGAGGTCAACGTCCTGAAATAATGTCTGGTAACTACAGAGTGCTGTTAAAGCGCTCATAAACCGTTTTCAGAGTGATTTCAGTCTAAGTTGACCCGGCAGAGAGCACTAAAACTATATCCTCTGCCTGTTGTTACGCTTTATCCAATTATTCCTCATTCTACGTCAATTTTAAATGGCAGCACTATTATAATAAACGTGAAGGTTTTGAAATAGGGTAACAATTGACAAAAAGTTCTAAAATGTGACAGCAACTTTCAAAGATAGTAGCAACTGGCGAGTCGGATAATTAAAATGATGGAAATGAAGGGGAATTGGTGAAAATGACACATTTAGCCAATGACAACACACATACAGCTATAATACCTGAAACTGGTCGAAAACCACATCAGATCAGCGATTCACCGGATATATTTTAGAGATGATGAGCTCACGACGCAACCAATAATTGCTCTGAGAGCGCGGAAAAGCTATGTTGAAATGTATTCGATTCCGCGCGTTACATTTAAGAGGACCTCATCAGCCATTACGTGAGTCGTCATATCTGCAACTCTTACACAGTCAGTTAGTCTTACAAAAACCAAAGAGATGTTTGCCCAGAATGGCTCTGCAAGGATCTTTTGTAACCTACAATTACTGCACCCTAGCTCAATTAAAAAACGAATTACAACTAAATATTTAGGGGAAAAAGGTTCCCATGCCCTATATCATAACGTTCACCTTGTTGTCTTGGTCGATGTCATAAGAATTTCTTAACCACCTACTGGATTTTTTCCCGATCCATGACTCAAAGGCACAAAAGAGTCAAGGACAATGGTTAGCGAACGAGGTTTTTTTTGATATGGTAGCTTTGCGACCGTGTGTGCATGCCAATATGTCGCCCACGTTCTTAACTAGCCTGCGCAAAGTTATTTTGCGAGATATTCTGAATTAAATAATTATTGTCGCGCAGCGCTGAACTGACCAAGTGAATTGTTAATTCCACCATGATATGTACCTATCCTACTAGGCACTAATTGATAGAATATTGTTATTATTGTTAGAATTACTATTTTGCACAGATCCTTGTCAGGTTGCATTAACAAGTCAAACAATAAAACTAACGGTTACACGATTTCCAAATTCAATATGGAATTAGCTGGGCGGCGCTCGGCCTGTCACTCTGTTATATCTGCATGCTTATAAACAGTAAAGACTGGGGACTCAGGTTATATTGAATATATAATAAAATAAGCCATCACTGATCGGGAAATTGAGCGGCCATCCACAAAAGAAAAGCGGCCGCATTTCTTGTTGGCTGGTGCCTGGTACTGTTTGATAATCAAATCTAATCAAAGAAGAAGGGAAGAAGTAAGTACAAGTTATAAGGAAGAAAACCTTATCGCTGGGTTTCCAATTGGGTCATTTTGGGAAATTAACATATTAAAGTAACATAAAGTAGCTCGGTTTTTAAACTAATTACAAATCTATTACATGTATTAAGTATTAAGTGATGGGATGGAAACCAGGTGTAGCTAGTCCTCAACCTGGCTCCATAATATGAAGGACTTGTTTTAATTCTAAATGGAAAGCTCGAATATATTAAGCAATCGAATTAACTATATTATGATATTAAGTTGTTGGTTAAGATGTGACCATTGCACTGTTTCGAAAAGAGATATCAGGTAAGCTTTAAATACAATTTCATTACGAGAGAAGTTTCCTAATTTCATGATGTAAATGGTTGTTGGATAATTTAGCTTATGACAAGAGATATTGTTCCAGATACTACAGTGAAGTTTTGACATTAAGTTATTTGTTTTAGGGAAAAATTAGATATGGGCGTTGTTTTGAACTATCTCTTTTATTATATCTAATAATAGCAGTTTCCTTAAAATTGGAAAATGTTTGCCACCCTACCACATGTAAAGCGTGTAATATCTACGTTTGCTAAATACAACATGTATGTACTACAACAGATTACCAGATTTACCACCCTAACCATGTACATTGTACGGTAACCGTGCTGTAACGTAAACTATGGCACACACCTCTGTGCGGCTTAACTAGTAAAAGTGTGTGTGGCGTTGGCTATAGGGACTAGGGGTACTACTACAACTTTTATATAGAGACTACAATAGGGATTATGGTACCTTAATACGTAATGAAATTTTAACTTCTACACAATAAGAGGTCTGGAAAGGAGGGGGTCAAACTGTTTGACAAGTTTAGAAGTCGTTGTTTCCCCTAAAGTGAGTGTCGCAGTAAATATCATTAGTTATAAAGACGTTTTTATCAAGAACGTGAGAACAATGTGTAACATGTCGTGAGTGAAATTAACTGAGATCAGAGCTGAAGCCTGAACATTATGCTATCTAATAATAATAATACAGGGGGGCCAAAAGTCAGTACCCATACGTTGGGTCTTATACCACCTCTGTGTTTTATATAAATTGAGAGTCGTTGCTTTGCAGATGGCATACTGTACCTACTTGTTCGAGGATTCCGTCACCAAAATTTTAAAATTATATTTTTGGGGGCCACACCCAATCAACATCGAATTGCTTATACTGGTGTTTGTGAACATGTTAGAGACTCCATTGTTACATATTGCAATAGGTAATTTAATCCGGAATATAATCTGAAAAGATGGTGCGAAACAGATTTAAAATGACGAAGTTATCAAGCAATTTGTTTATCTCGTTAGCAAAATTGATTGGGTACTCAATGATTATCCAATTATGACACCGTAATTAGGCTCTCTGCACGATTCCCATAATGCAGATCTAGCCTCAACCCAATCACCTGATCAGTTATCACACGTAATGAACAAACTCGTTATGCTTCATGTCTCGGTCATCTGAGAAGCTAAAACTCTCATTTTTTCAGAACAAACGTAATTTAAATAACCAAACACCATTCAATAAAATTTGGCTCGATCCGACTATCAACAAATCAAAACTATCAAATAAATGCGAAAATGAACCTTCGTTTGAAAAAAATGAACACGAATATTTTTCGATTTGACAAATTGCTCGAACCGGTGGTGGTAGTAAGTCATCCTAGAAAGAATTATTTCAATTGGGCACTCAGTGACTGAGCTATTAAGGCCAACGTATGGGTACTGACTTTTGTCCCCCCCCCCCCCCCCCTGTATTATTAAACAACATTAAATTCGAGTAAAATTTATCCTATTTGAAACCTGTGTGATAACATTCTCGTAATAACGCACATTGTGCGCTTGCAAAACACGTGTTACCTTATTGCAACCCGAACCAGATAACTTATTCCCTGTGATGTTTCTGCCATTGGAAAAGGTAAAGAAAATGAGGTTTTAATCGTTATAGTGTCCAATATATAGATTTATAGATAGAACATTACCAAAATTAGGATTTGCTGATAGAAATTTAGAAATGATTATTCATAACTGACTAGTTGGAAAAAATAAAAGAATAAATTTGCTTTCGCAACTTGCCTGGTTAGAATCAAGAAAATATTAAACCTGATTAGAAATCAAGGAAATATAACCTGATTAGAAATCAAGAAAATAATACCTGACTAGAATCAAGGAAATATTACCTGTTTGGAGTCTCCCTCTAATAGTTTCTCCAGATCTAGTTGCTGAGATAATATCTTGTACTTGCAGTCTATCACTAGGAACATCGCCTTAATACTGAAACATGTTATTATTAGTCAAATGCTTCACCTCATAATTGTATATCATTTTGGTGATTATCTCACTCTTTTTAGAATAAGGGAGCGTTTACATAATATTACGTCAGCAAGTGTTTGGCCATGTTTACCCCTCACCCCCGGCCCCCTCCGTCAGCAACTGTCAGCATCAAGCGACCCCCCCTCCCTAACCGCAAAACTATTTTCGGCTCATAATGATCAGGGAAGCATGAAATGTGGTTTCCAGTAAGACTTTGAATAATATGTGACATTTTTTGTTGGTCCGAGTCATTTTCGATATCAAATGCGTAGGTACCTCTACAGGGAGGTTCCCCACTTCCGAGCTCACATTACAAAGGGGAAGCATGCCTAATGCCTTTCGAGATCACAAAGGGGAAGCCTCGACTCCATGATCGTATATCGAGGGGTAGGTGCGGACTTCGAAAAACCAAACTTGAATCAACAAAATGCTGGCCAAAATTCATGTATCTTTGCTGTCAGCAAGGCCCAGACCCCCTACCCCCCGCCCCCCCCCCCCTCCCCGTCAGCATTTCCCAACCCCCCCGGCACCCATCGGCTGCTGACGTAAAATTATGTGAACACTCCCTAACTATTCTTTATCATGCTAATGTAATGAATCTCTTGCTTTGTATTGCAGGATGTGTGATGCACTGGTGCAAGTTATGTACTGGCCAATTAATATTGAGGGTGCTAGGTAGGAGGGTGTGGTAATTATAACTTTATATTATAGCTTAATCAGATAAATAAATAAACAAATAAACCCTAACATTATTATATACAGTAAAACCCCGATTTACCGCAAACCCCGATTTACCGCGGCCATTTCCTTTCCCCCAAATAGGGCTTAACATGTATAATGTAAACAAACAAAACACCGATTTATCACGGACCCTGATTTACCGCGGATGTTTCCTTTCCCCCAACTCCGCGGTAAATCAGGGTTTAACTGTATAATACAGCTTAACGTTTCAACCGAGGTTCAGATGTATCTAGAATTAAGGTAGTTATTAGTTTATTAGTTTACCCTGTGTTAAGTAACCGTGCGTGAAGTGTCCATCGACAGATAACCAAATTGCCTAGTTTATTAATGGGTAGCACTTTGAGTAGTGGGTAGTGGGATCAAGACAGGGGTCAATACAAATATTTTAGTATTTTCATTGAAGCTCAATTTTCCCGGCACCGCCCTCCAAAAAGAGACTGACCCTAATTCAACCAACGAAGGATTTTCATGCTTTGGAGACATGATAAAACTACAAAATCCACTTAAATCTCGCAGTGAATAAGTAACCACAAAATCCAAACAAAGCTGGATTGTCACGTGACAAAGCATAATGGTCATGTGACCCAAACACTTATCATACTTAAAAGAAAGATGTTGCAGCGTGAACAAAAACTCGCATGATTGTCCCTCATTTGACAAATGGCGACGCATCTTCACTATTCACAATAATTCTCTTTGTTGTAGGATGCTACTTAAAGCTCGGAGCAGAGTAGAGTGTTAGTACTGCAGTTCAACAGCAAGGTGTTGGTGTTGAACTAGAGCAATATAGGGGGGGGGGGGGGTGACACCCCAATATAAAAGCTTACATTTCGTTTTGGGGTTTTTATCAGCATGGTTAAGTTAGACGTCTGAAAAATGTTTAATACCGAGTTTTAGTGATTAAGTAAGACTAGGATTTAAATTTTACCTTCTAGCAGCCCTTGAGTGACCAATTATACAGTAACCCACTATAGAGTGACCCACTTTAGTGACCAACTTCAGTGACCCACTATAGTAACCGAATATAGTGACCCACTATAGTGACCCACCATAGAGTGACCTACTAGAGCTAGAGTAACGAACTTTAGTGACCAACTATATAAATACACACTAACAGTTACTATTTATCAGGAAGGCATGTCCACCCGCCGTACTGCTTACGTATTCTGCTTGGTTAGCCTACTAGCAGCTCTCACTTCAGGTGGCTATTTATTTAATTTTAAGTATTAAAGTATCAATTTTGTAAAACGAATTCATCAAAACTTAAATAAGTAACTTAAATAACTAACTTAAACAACTAACTTAAACAACTAACTTAAACAACTAACTTAAACAACTAACTTTAATGACTAACTTTAATAACTAACAATAACAATAAACCCCTCTCAGATGCTCAATTCGTCTCTCTGCAAAACATAGCGAAACTAGCGAAACTAACTGGCATGAAAGAGGAGATACAGACAGACGGAGGTGATATTATCGAGCAGTATGAGGCTCAGGAGATTGCCAGATCCCTCCAGATTTAGAGGGAGAAAATGTTGTGTGAGATTGATTTGTGGGCGTTTGCAGAGGATTTTTGAGGTGGTGTGAGTGATTTGAAATGAATTTTAGCATTGAATAGTTTATAGTTGATGTAAATCGAAACTAACCGTTTTAAGCCTTTTTTAGTTGAGTGACTGTTTTAGTGACTGTTTTAGTGACTGTTTTAGTGACTGTTTTAGCGACGGATATTGTAAACTTGTTGAAATTGTAAACTTGTTGAAACTTTGCATTACAATAATATGTATAATACGTGTGTATTATTTAATAAAACAACGATTCGACCACTTGGTACCACTTCCACCTAGTAATAAAGATAACAATCCTTATTGATAAAAATAAACTGATGTTAAAAAAAGTTGTATCATAAACAAAACGATCAATAATTCAAGAATAATCTAAAATTATTACTATAAGTAATACCTAATTTAACTATTAATCATAAAATTGCAAATTTACAGTTACCTAAGTACTGCCACGAATGCTAACACGATTGCACCTTCAATAATCCCCGCCTGAAATGAAATAGTTACAGTTAAATGATATTAATTTAGTTAAAACTCCACAACTTCTAAAGCACCATGTTATTGAGTTCAGTATTGGATAACCCGGATAATATATAGATTTACTGAGAGTCAAGAGTGTTACCATGGTTACTGAAAGTGTACAAGTGTTACCATGGATACTGTAACATGTAACCATGGTTACTGTAACATGTAACCATGGTTACTGTAACATGTAACCATGGTTACTGTAACATGTTGCCATGGTTACTATAACATGTTACCATGGTTACTGTAACGTGTTACCATGGCTACTGTAACATGTTACCATGGTTACTGTAACATGTTACCATGGTTACTGTAACATGTTACCATGGTTACTGTAACATGTTACCATGGTTACTATAGTATCAAACCTCTTTAAAAGCGTAAGGTAGACCGAGTATCCCAGCTCCAACGAATGTGATGAAGATGTTACCATAGAGACTGATAACTGAAGATTCCTGGCCTCCACCTCCATCATGCATTACTAGAACCATTAGTCAGTTAATTAGACTTAATCAGATCAATAAATAAATAAACAAATTCTAACACATGTTACACGTGGCTTTAACAATTAACTAAACTAGCAGGAACCCGTCTAACCCTAAAATGGTGTCAAGACTCAAGAGACTAAAACAATTATTACCTATTTAATTCGCGTTTTTGACACCACTTGGGGTACCAAATTTTGGGCTCTAAAACTCCTATTTCTTGGCCAATTTTTTATTTGTTCATGCTGATTTGGAGGCCATTAAAGCATTTGACCCAGTCAAAAAAGTTTCAGTTGTATATCTTTCACGGTTTTTGCAGAAATTCGTGTTAAAGTTGATGCCGTGGTGTCAGTAAAATGGCACGGATAAATAAATATATATATATATATATATATCGTCTCGCTTTATATATAGTAAGATAATGATAATGCAAATTTTAGTAAAATTAGTTCGCCTTGGCCTTATCCTTAACTCCTTATTGACTCTGTTACTGTAAAATACACAACTCCGTCACATAAAAGACTGTACATAAAGGAAACTGAGATCTGGCAATACCTCAGATAAATGAAAAGTAATGATAAAGTAGTCCCCCGATATTTCGTATTTGGAGTGAAGGAAGTACCGAAATATTGAAAGTTCTACATTTAAGATGGAAAGTTCGGTATTAAAAAATGCTTTATTCAGATATTATATGATACAAGGTATTTTAAGTTAAAAATTAAATGTCGGCATCTAGCTGATGAAACTAAGTACCTTAGGCTAAAACTTACTGCATATTATATAAAGATATAACTATGAGCATAATTATCATAATAGTTAGCATAATAAAATTACGAATTATCATTTTTTGAACATACAACTATTCCTTACTGAACATGACGTGATAGATTACACAATCAAAAGTTGTGACCAAGTTTGAGTATAGGGAAATTGTAACGTTGATAATTGTGCTATTAGGGGTCGTTCACATATTACGTAATCACTTTTTGGGCAATTTTAACCCCCCCCCCCTCCCCCTACGTAATTAGTTTTACACATAGCTATTGTGTCACAATTACACTAGCGTTATCATTTGGAAACCCCCATCCCCCCCCCTTCGGCTGATTACGTAATATATGAACAACCCCCCTCCCCTCAGCTGATTACGTAATGTGTGAACGACCACTTACTAACACGGCAGAGGACAATTTTAAGGTTCTAATAGTGGAGTGCGGTTTATCAGTTCCTTAGTTTGGCGCTATAACTTAAACTTGTAAGCAGATGTACTACTTTGTTACTTTGTAGGGCTTCATAGAATCCTCTATCGGGCCATCGAAAAAGTCGACCCCCCGGACAGTGTAGAATTAACAATTATTAAAATTTCATCGAACTTCAAAAATAATGGTCAGAAATACATAACACTGCACACGAAATTCAAAGCATGAAATGATGGTTAAAGTGGCAAGAAATATCCGGGGTCGACCGTAGCTTGTTACCATGGTAACCGTAGCTTGTTACCATGGCAACTTTTAACGCGCAAATAACACTCTTAATGGTTTCTTATTCTAGTTCCCGTTCTTTTAAAGTCATAATAATCAATAATTATAAAGATATCAAGGAAATACAATAGAACCCGTATTATATACCGAGCTTATCAGGGGATGAGGGGAAATTAAACGTGTATTATTATTATAGAGGTACCCTGTATATAGGTACCCTGTATAGAGGTACCATGTATAGAGGTACCCTGTATAGAGGTACCCTGTATAGAGGTACCCTGTATAGAGGTACCCTGTATAGAGGTACCCTGTATAGAGGTACCCTTATTAGAGGTACCCTGTATAGAGGTACCCTGTATAGAGGTACCCTGTATAGAGGTACCCTGTATAGAGGTACCCTGTATAGAGGTACCCTGTATAGAGGTACCCTGTATAGAGGTACCCTGTATAGAGGTACCCTGTATAGAGGTACCCTGTATAGAGGTACCCTGTATAGAGGTACCCTGTATAGAGGTACCCTGTATAGAGGTACCCTGTATAGAGGTACCCTGTATAGAGGTACCCTGTATAGAGGTACCCTGTATAGAGGTACCCTGTATAGAGGTACCCTGTATAGGGGTACCCTGTATAGAGGTACCCTGTATAGAGGTACCCTGTATAGAGGTACCCTGTATAGAGGTACCCTGTATAGAGGTACCCTGTATAGAGGTTCCACTGTACAGCCATTTGGTAAGATTGAGAGGGTACCATAATTTTAGAGAGAAGTTTGAAATTTACAATTTATAAGGTTAAAAAGTTAAACGGAGAGAAAGTTGAGACATTAGAGTAAGACAACATGACGTGTTGAGGTTGAAATAATTAAAGTATGTACACATCTTATTGAATTGATTTATAATTGATATAAACTATAATTCATTAAAGTTACATTGTATATTAAAGTACCACGAAAATTGAACGACTAAATTCTTTCTGGTTCTTAGAGGAAACCTAACATAAAAATTTTCAATCTCTAAGAGTCTAAGATTCGTCTAGATGCCAACTTTTATAATTCATGTATTTATATTCTAATAACAAAAAGACTTGACCAAATATCATGTAATTTAACTCGCACACATTTATAATATTCATATTTTCAAAGATTTTTGAGTTTTTATCTAATAAAAACCCTTCCACCATTCATTTTTGTCTCATTATATTCGGTGAACCATAAATTGATAAACTAATACAATATTAATTATATCTAAACGAATTTCGATAAACTCAGTGAGTTTTAATCTAATATATAATACAATCTAATATAATCCATTATAATCATGAACTCTGTAAATTTGAAATATTGTAATGATTTCTATTGCTTAAATAATCAGTTTGTCAAACAATAATATCGAGAGAAGTTAAAAAGTACATTATCAGAATATTCTGAATTCTGACTAACTAAAAACAAATTGTGTAAATTTGCATAATACTATAAATAATTAGCATAATATAAAATCATAATATTATTACATAATCATATTAACACAGGAACACGAATTTATATTCACGATGAAATTTCAAGTCTTTTGATTTTTAGTCCAACAACATTCAAAACCCTAAATCTTGCAATCAAGAAAGCACTACAATATTATAGCAGTCAGCCTTATTTGTTATTAATAAGCAAAACGTTTTAAATTTAACTACCCTTGATTGGGTAGCAGGCACTAATTTAAATAAAAAGTGGAAATAGTTCAAAAAGCAGCATGGTGACGTCACGTGATCACTGTAATGACGTCACGCGAGCAGTATAATGAAGTCACGTGATGTCACGTGAGTAGTGTAATGACGTCAAGAAATCAGAGCTCCTCGTCGCCAGAGTCACCGAACTCAAAGGTGTTGTGTTCCGGGGAGTCGTTATCGTCTTCAGTCACGGGACAGTCACGTGATATCACTTTCTCTTTCACTTCCCTAAGGGTATCACTTTCAATTTCGCTGCAGAGAAATCTCGAATATATTATCATGACTCAGGTATATTATAACAGCTTGTGAACCATTTGGCCATCAAAATGTATCTTTCAATAAAGAATAAACTAATAGCAAATAGGTACCCAGGTTTGTTGACAGTTTTGTAGCAAGGTTCCACACAGCACAACTTTACTGCTCGTCTGTACCTGCATTCCAAAATAGTTCACTCTATTTTACTCAATTTAACTCAAATTTATTAAATCTTACTGAATCTGCTATCTATGTCCAAGTCAGAATATCTCTAAAACAGGATTCATTCATCCTACTGCAGGTACATACTATAGTAACCATGGTTACATATTACAGTAACCATGGTTACATTTACCCAGCTGCACTGGTACACCCAACTGGTACATCTACTCAGCTGTTACTAACCCAGGACAGGTGTTACTCTTCCCGCCGTCCCTGTCCCTGGTACACAACCTAAACCTCAGCTGCATTCCTCGTCCACACTTCCGGTTACAGGGAGACCACGGCGACCACCCCGACCATGAGGATTGATCTGAGAGGGATTAATGATGGGTCAGAGAGGGTAAGCGAGGGGTTCGTGAGGAGTCGAGGAGTCACTAGTCAGAGGGGTCATTTCTTAAAAAAGAAACAGACTAACAGACAAACAAACAAACAAAAAGACAGACAGACAGACAGACAGACAGACAGACAGACAGGATAGAAACCATTATTTTAGTCCCAAAACACACGATTTACACGAAACAAACAAACAAACAAACAAACAAATAGACAGACAGGATACAAACCATTGTTGTAGTCCCCAGCAGCTCCATCATCTTGAGCCCCGCCACCCCAACACGGACCAGAAACTGATTTATATTTAGTAACAGCTTTAGTGCACGTGGTGTCTCCACAGGGTATTTGTATTTCGTGCTCGTAGGGGACTTCTTGTATACACAGGTCTGGGGGTGAGGTTAGTTATTATCACTATTAAATAAAATAATTGAGTATATTATTCTTGAGTTATTATCAAGGTAATGTAAATTAACAAGTTGAGTTACTGTGTGAAACAGAATGCGACTTAAAATTTAACAGCACTATATATTAAAGTTTATTCAAAAGAGTTGACAGAATAAACTCATCAACCAGCAATTATAACATGATACAACAATTAACTAACTAATCAGCTAACTAGTTAATTAGTTAATTAGATCTCACCAGAAGTAGCAGTAGGATCAGGATCCACATCATTGCCCTCCCAAGACTCAGTCGGTTCTACCTTCTTCTTACCTAACTCATACTGTGTCTTATTCCAGTTACACACCATAACCTTCTTCTCCTTTCATTACCTGGTAATTAGGTAATTAGTACCAGTGATAAAAGAGTTATTAGTAGTTAATTATCAGGCAATTAGTAGCGCAGGTAATTGAGTGATTATTTAATTAACAGTTACCTAGTCGAGCAGTCAGGTATAAAGCAGATTTTGTGTTTTGAAGAATTAAAAGTTTTAAATATCATTATGAACCCAATCAGGAGTAACACAAATAACAGCTGAACAACAATATAATTAATATTAACTAACTTAAAGATTTTAATCAATTAATTAACTAATTAACTAATTGAACAATTGAAATATAATTAACGAACAGGCATGGAGCATATCTCCCAGTCCACACCGTTCTCTTTACAAGCGTAGTGTTTCATCTCTTTGACTTGTGTGTCCACATACTTGGTACCGTACTCACATTGCTCCTCTGCAGTTGTTTATTAATAAGTTAATGTAATGCATATTATGCAATACAATAATGTAATTATTTACTGCTAGATAATTATGTAATATTAGACGGATAAAAGCTAAAGGACATCACGTGACGTCATCACACTGCTCACGTGACGTCATCATACTGTCACGTGACGCCGTCACACTACTCACGTGATGTCATCACACTACATTAATACTCACCCAGATGCTGAGTGCACTGGTAGAGGGTATTAGCTCCGATTATATCGTATCCAGATAGGTATCTCCTTTGTCCCATATCAGCGGGGTTTTCTGCCAGCTTCTTTACTCGCAGTGTTTGTAAACCTGAGTTAAGCTCAGTTAGTTAAATTTAGTAAAATGATGAAAAATTTATATCTTGTTAGAATTTACCATATTATAATTTATATGGTAAATTCTACCTTTTCTAATGATGATCGCTTGATAGGTAACATAATATTACGTATTATTATATATATATTAGCTCGAAAATTGGGCACATTTTGATAAGTCATTAAATATTTAACAGTTAACTCCGAGAGGAAGAATATGTCAGATGCTATCAGCCTTCTTGGGGTATAACACTTAGTTTACAACTAATTAATTAATCACTTAATTACTTTTAAAATCAACCTACCGGGCTGAGATCTGAAGTCGTAAGGACCGTAGTGGGTAATAGACAAGTAGTCATAAGGAATACCTCGGGGGTCTATCTCATTACTGTTATACTTAGCAAACTGAAACAATCATAACTACGTCATCATCTAACAAACTGAAACAATCATTATACATAATAATATAAATATATTCTCATTATATAATAATCCCCCTCCAGATTATATAATAGACAATAGACATCAGGCGGAGTGAAACCAGCATTGATAGATTAATGTATCTGGAAAATTAAACATTTAAAAGTTCACTGAAAAGGACACGTTGTGATGTAGAGGTGTAAGAAACAAGAACTTTAGATTAGAACGTCTTAAAACAAATCCACAATTCCAGGCAACACTGAACACACGCTCTCGGGACGATACAAAATATAAATTCACATTTCACATCCTTATCTAAAAAAGTTAACAAAACATAACAGCGCAATACACTCAAACTTAATCTGGCTTGAGTTCAACGTTTCTTCTAACAGACAATCTAACAAACAAACTCGGTAACCATGGTTACCTGTTCTCTTTTATCGTATCTGATATTAGCCCAGATAATATCAACATAGTCGTCACGATCCGGTCTACTCTGTTCGTGGAAAAATCCTGCGTTTTGATTGGTTACTTTGAGAAAATATACTGTGTTTTGATTGGTTACTTTAGATAGGTTCTTATACTGTGACAGCTTTGTAAATGTATTCGCATTTAAATTTCACACAATAAAAGAATAAATTATGAAAATACACCACATGGTTAACAGCTGACAGAATATCATATTAACAAGGAATACAAGGAATACAAGGAATACAAGGAATACAAATTTAAAATCTTGAGCTACAATAGTAACTGTTAAGATAATAACAATATCATAAGATTTGAATTTATTATATTAATATAACTTAACTAAAGTGAAAAATAAAGATTTGACATAAAATATTTTGTTTTCAGTCGCCTTGGTAATGCTGTAATGCTTGAGCCAGGTCACTTTGCAGTTTGCACTCGTCGTTGCGCGAAAAGAAACAAAAGCGGTTACAGTGATTTTCAGTGTTCACTGTTCATGTACTGGCCAGAGAGTCAACAAATTTCTTGCGGTTGTTAAAACACGTAGTGGCAAACCTAGCAACGACTCTCGTGAGGTGGACTTGACTTTCGTTCGTGATAAGTTCAATGATTTCACTGTTGTTGCTGATGAATTTGAGGACGTTTGCTCCAGGGATGACATTGTGAACAGAATAAGATGTCGCAGACGGTTTGATTGGATTTGATATGAGTGACTGGATCTTGTCTAGGACTTTTCGCCTCGATGCAGCGTTAAGATCACAATGGTTAAGGAAGTGATCTTCATTCTCAATAATACCAGAACCTAAGACTATATTGCACCAGGAGCATATTCGCTCGTCACGAGGAGTTTGATTATATCGGCCAAGTTCAATTTCGAGTCGATGTGCACTGATCCGCAGTCTTGTGATATTAGCACGGTCTGCATATTTAATGACACTATCTAGGTAATACTCTTTGTTAAATTTGGATTTTAGGTCACGATAGAATTCTAATTTCCGAGAAGTGTTGATACAGGACCCCCAATATTCTCTAAAGTTACATTTCAAAGTTTTAGTAATGACGTGTGGTGTGAATATTTTACTCCCGATGGGTTGTGTTGATTGAGGAGGAATTCGTTTCTTGAAACCGTTGTGAATAAGAAAGTCCTCTTTTGGTGGTTTTGCAATACTCGGGTTTCTTTCGAAAAGTAACTTGGAGTGATTGTTTTTGAGTGTGCGGTAGGCTGTGACATGATCGGTAGAGAAACATGGGTCTAGCGCGAGGACAGGCTCCAAACCCCTGTACCAGTCCAATTTCATGTTCATCTGTTCTTTGAAAGCTAAGGAGACAAGGGAGTTATCTTTGAGATTTTTCAAACGTTGGCTATATTTGAGAGTGAGGTTAATACATTCATAGATTAATGGGTAGCGGCCTGACTCACCCCAGACGCCTGCGTTGCTGGCTTTACGATTTACCCCCAGTGACCATTTAAGAAAGTGAAGGTGAACTTTTTCGCTGTTCAGAAGGCTAATTTTCTTGAGGATACTAGTTTGAAATTTTGTTTTTGGGTCGGCATCCATATTGAGATCGACTTGTTTTGTTATGTGTTTTATGATAGCCATGTTAGGTGTGTAAATAGGCGCTCCGTAAAGAACGATAGGTTTAATAAGACCATCAAAGAGTGTTGTTAGAGAGCGGAATGATAATTTGGATTTGTTTACTGAGCTTTTCATGGCATAAAGTGCACGCATGGCTTTCTTTTTGAGCTCAGTTCGGGCATTTGTGAAAGTGCCGGATTTGTGTATTTCGATTCCTAGATAGCAGTATGACTCGACTTCTTCTAACAAGTGATCACCAATTTTCAGGGGAACCGGCTGATAAGTATCAAAACGGGCATTAAATTTCATGAGTTTAGTTTTATCTGCATTAATTTCGACGCCCCATTCCAAGCAGAAATTGTTCAAAGCATCGAGTTGCTTTTGGAGGGTTTTGGGGTCCAGTGCCAAGAGTATCAGATCATCTGCCCATAGTAAGTGACTGATAAGTTGGTTCATTAGTTTCGGACAGTTATCATATTCTAGTCGAGGGGAAAGATCTCTGATGTATATCTTAAATAGATCAGGGGAAAGTGGATGACCCTGTTCAGTTCCTTTATTGATATCAAATTTTTCGCTGACAAATCCAGATAGTTTTATCTGGCCAGTGGAATTTTTATACATATGTTTAAGAACATTAAATGTTTTGCCAGTGATACCTAGTTTAGCTAATTTTAAGAAAAGAGCTTCACGGCAAACAGAGTCGAAGGCCTTCCGGAAGTCCACAAAAACAGCATAGACGGGAACCTTGAGCTTTTTGTATTTAGACGTAATGGTGTTGAGTGTGAGTATGTGGTCATATGTTTGAGCTCCTTTAGCGAAGCCAAGTTGTTCTTGTCTCTGTTAGATGGCTAGAATTATAGTAGTGCAGTAGTGCTGAAATATACAAAATATAATAACCTAAGTAGTAACTTGATCTCATTATTAAATATTAATTATTTAAATATTATACATGTTACATATTATTATATTATTACGTCCAAACATTCTACAATTTAATGAAGCTATTAGTACTTTAGTACTATGTATCGCTGTGTGCACTACTGTATACTATTAAATAGTATTTTTAGTACTATTTAATAGTATAGCAGTGTCACAGCAGTGTCACAGAAGTGTCATAGCAATGTCACAGCAGTGTCACAGCAGTGTCACAACAATGTCACAGCAGTGTCACAGCAATGTCACAGCAGTGTCACAGCAGTGTTACAGCATTGTCACAACTTCACAGCAGTGTAACAGCAATGTCACAGCAGTGTCACAGCATTGTAACAGCAGTGTCACAGCAGTGTAACAGCATTGTCACTGCAGTGTCACAGCAGTGTTACAGCAATGTCACAGCAGTGTCACAGCATTGTCACAGCAGTGTCACAGAAGTGTCATAGCAATGTCACAGCAGTGTCACAGCAGTGTCACAACAATGTCACAGCAGTGTCTCAGCAATGTCACAGCAGTGTCACAGCAGTGTTACAGCATTGTCACAGCTTCACAGCAGTGTAACAGCAATGTCGCAGCAGTGTCACAGCATTGTAACAGCAGTGTCACAGCAGTGTAACAGCATTGTCACAGCAGTGTCACAGCAGTGTTACAGCAATGTCACAGCAGTGTCACAGCATTGTCACAGCAGTGTCACAGCAGTGTAACAGCATTGTCACAGCTTCACAGCAGTGTAACAGCAATGTCACAGCAGTGTCACAGCATTGTAACAGCAGTGTCACAGCAGTGTAACAGCATTGTCACAGCAGTGTCACTGCAGTGTCACAGCAATGTCACAGCATTGTAACAGCATTGTCACAGCTTCACAGCAGTGTAACAGCATTGTCACAGCAGTGTCACAGCAGTGTCACAGCAGTGTCACAGCAATGTCACAGCAGTGTCACAGCAGTGTCAACTGTCACAGCAGGTATGTTGACATGCCATTATGCGGGAACACTAAGCTACAGCAGTGCCACAATCAGGCAATCAAAAGCTTTTATTGTTCTGGACTCTAAAGAGGCCCATTACACTTTACTTGGGTACTACAGTTAATGTATCTCAAAATAATTTTTGACGGACATAAAATTCATGGTCAATGAGGTTTTTAAGTTCTTCAAAATATGGAAATATAACGCAAATTTGGAAATTAATATATCATACGTTTTGAACTAACCTATAACATGAGCAAGTTCGTGGAGTGCAAACCCGGGAGTTCCACACCCTTTACCAAGCGAGAGGAGTTGTTCACCGTCCCCCCTTCCTATCGTCGCAAAACATCTGAACAATTTCAATATTTAGTGAGGAGTTGTTCACCGTCCCCCCTTCCTATCGTCGCAAAACATCTGAATAATTTCAATATTTAGTGAGGAGTTGTTCACCGTCCCCCCTTCCTATCGTCGCAAAACATCTGAACAATTTCAATATTTAGTGAGGAGTTGTTCACCGTCCCCCATTCCTATCGTCGCAAAACATCTGAACAATTTCAATATTTAGTGAGGAGTTGTTAACCGTCCCCCCTTCCTATCGTCGCAAAACATCTGGACAATTTTAATATTCAGTGAGGAGTTGTTCACCGTCCCCCCTTCCTATCGTCGCAAAACATCTGAACTAGTTCAATATGGGGGGGGGGGGGGGGTCACCAAAACACGGAAGTGTGCAGTAATAAATACCACACCCGCAATAACATCGGACCCTAGCAAATAAAGTAGCATAAATAAATCAATCAAACATAATATCATATATTATTATATACAACATAAGTTATAGTAAGTACACATTTTAATCGTTTCAATAATATCTAATCTTGTGTGAGTTTTTTATTTTGAATTGATAACACTTATTATATACTTTTGAGTAAACGTTGGCTGGTATTTCTGTCCCCAACAAAAAACACAACACTAATTAAGTATACTAGTTTACTTACCCCTTGCCACTGGCGAATCTAACATAGTTGGTATCTGATGGTAACTTCTTCCTAAACCTGATACACGTGTTCAATTCCCAGCTCCTCATAGCGGACTCTAGAGCATGCAGCTTCCTCAGACCTGTAATTAAGCAATTAGTGATTGTTAATTAGTGAGCTAATTGCTCAATTAGTGATTGTTATTTAGTGAGCTAATTGCTCAATTAGTGATTGTTATTTAGTGAGCTAATTAGTGAAATCAATCGAGTCATTCAATAATAAGTTAATATATCTGGATAGTGGGAAGGTGAACTAAATCACTAATTTTCAACTCGAACACAGGGAATTCATTTTTGAAATGTTTTGAAAAAGTTTATTCTTCAAATATTGTAATTGTGGTACTAAAAGTTGTGTCTGACCGAGTTGATTACGATCCTGTAAACATATTTTTTTTAAATAGCCAAATTATAAGCGAGAAAAACACGTGCAATGCTGCCCACAGGAGGCCCACATACAGCTGGCCCTGATCGTGCTTCACGGTGAATTTGTATTATTCACAGCAATGTCAACTAATAGGCCATTAATAATTATTACTGCATTATTAATGCCGTAATTACGCGCAGTTATTCCAGACTGAATTTGTTATCTGAGACAAAAAGTAAATTAATCAGTTTCTGCACAGAATGGAAATTCAAAAGGAATTTGCAGGTACACTTCTCTTGTGCAAATACAAGGTTAACAAGTTACCACGATTACCAGGGTTACCAGGGCCGGGTTACCAGGTTACCATGTTACCAGGCAAAAAGGTTAACAGGTCACAGTTTTCTCGACCTATGACGGTGAACACGATACAAGTTGTCTTCACTGGATGCAAAATGATTCAGAAATAAATTACAAAAGGTAATTATACTATTACCTATTATGTTATAAAATTTGTGGTTTTGCGAATGGCTTAGAGCAATTAACGACGACATAATTATAAGTTACAGTGAAAATCTTTAAAATCTCACAATATATAGAATATTACAACACTCTTACAATATTCCAACCACCTTAAGTTAAGATTGCCACATTTAGTTATTTTCATTTAACGTTACAAAGAAAAGATATTGGCAATCATCTAGCAGTCCATGGAACTAAATAAACATGATACTATAAAAAAGAACTGTCAATTAAACCTGATCATTAAATTGATTAATTTCATGCCATCTCAATAAATTAAAGAACCTCAAAACCAAAACATAAAAAACATGTAAACTTATAAAAGGTGTATGATAATTATGATGGGCCCATGTAAAGTAATAAAAATTAAGTTCTAATTATAAGTTTAACTCTCAATCAAAGTCAATCAAGAATATAAGTGAACATTCAATATTCAAATTTAAGCTTATATTATTATTATTAATAAAACCATTTAATACAGCGCGATAGGGTCACGAAAATGAAAAAAGTTTAGGTTAAATCAAATTTATTATATACATGGGTCACTGGCGGGCGCAGAAGAATACTGATATATAATTTAACTCTCATTTTACATCAAGTTATTCATCTGACCATTTCTACCTAATTATAAATCGTTCAAACATAATCAAATCCTACCCGACTATTATTCGTATCCCAAAAAATCAATCTCAGTTTAAAGTCTTGACATCCGTTTCCGCATCAGATACTTCCCTATTTTAAGAAGATTCCTTCACTAAAATAGCCTGCACAAACTCCGGCGGGTCCTCCAGATCGGCTTTACTCTGTATCAACTTTAACTCCTTATCATAACTCCCTGGGGTGTCCAAGTGTTTGAAGCTCTCGTACGTTCTGTTAAGGACTGCGTAGGTAGTGTTGACTGTGTTTGTCATTATTTTAACGGGGTTGTCGGGGTGTTTGTGTGACCAGATCAGGAAGGAAGCTGCGAATACGTCACCTGGGGGTTTACAGGGAGTTATGTTTCGATTTTTGAGAAAAGACAATTTTTGAGAAAAGACAATTTTTGGGGAAAGACAATCTTTGAGAAAAGACAATTTTGTTATTTATCACCAATTTATCACATAATCAATCAATAAATATACATCCGATTGATGTTAATTATCTGATGAATATGATTGTTCGTTTATCATGTTATTTACAACTTTATAATTTAGAGAGATGTCCAATGGGGGAAATCAAGAATTGAAGTCCAATCAGTAAACTGATCATTTCTTTTATGAACCGCTTCATTCATATTTGAAATGGCGATTCTTTTGTGAAATTACTTTGCAGAGGTTAAATAATTTTGCAGAGGTTAAATAACTTTGCAGAGGTTAAATAACTTTGCAGAGGTTAAATAACTTGGCGGAGGTAACTAACCTGATCCGGTAAAGGAACTTGGAATTCGTGGAATGCAAACTTTCACTTTCGTTTCCCCTCGGTTGAAACTACCAAGGCTCACCTGGTAAGAAGTATAAAATATCAATTACATAATACGATATCAAATACATATCAATGGTAAACGTACTGTAGTGCGACACGTACTGTAGTTCGTGTCGCACTACAGTTCAGGTAGCGTACTGTAGTGCGACAGTGTCGATCTTGGAGGTTTTCGCACTAGGGTACGTGTCGCACTAGGGTACGTGTCGCACTACAGTACGGGAATCCATATATCAATTACTGCCATGACTATCATATTATTAGCTGAAAATTTATTCGCGAGTTTCTGATGTGTTCTCAAATTAACAACAAACTGAAACTGAAATGTGTCTATAATACGAGAAATGATTTCATTGTCCCACTAAGATAAGGTTTCAACATGAATCTGATAAACAAGATAATATCTCACAATTTCGTCAGGGTTGTCTCCAATTTCTCCACTAGTTATAACAACTGTCTCTGCTTTGCCTTGTGAGTGTAACTTATCACAAACCTGTTGCAAATGAAATCTAAGAGGGTTCAAAGAGTTGATACAGGATAAAAAACTTCGAACCCCGGACAAGAAAACCCAAGGTTAATTATGTGATAATTCATAATAATCCCCCTGTGATAGTCCCTAACAATTATTAATGGTAGTCATGACAACCACATTCCTTACCTTCCACCCATCAGCCTCGCACGTGATTGACATTCCTGAGAGTTTCTCTGCCTCAAACTGGTTGGGGAGCAGAACGTCCGCTATTGGTACAATACTCTTCTGATACACGGACAGTAGCGCCTGCAAGTAGTGTTTAGTAACGGATATTGTCCGGTTAGTGTCCTGTTAGTAACCGGTTAGTGTCCGGTTAGTAACCGGTTAGTGTCCGGTTAGTGTCCTGTTAGTAACCGGATAGTGTCCGGTTAGTGTCCTGTTAGTGTCCGGTTAGTGTCCTGTTAGTGTCCTGTTAGTAACCGGTAAGTGTCCGGTTAGTGTCCGGTTAGTGTCCGGTTAGTGTCCGGTTAGTGTCCGGTTAGTGTCCTGTTAGTAACCGGTTAGTATCCGGGTAGTAACCGGTTAGTAACCGGTTAGTGTCCGGTTAGTGTCCGGTTAGTAACCGGTTAGTGTCCGGTTAGTGTCGGATTATATATTACTGTGTCAGGTAACGGTTAATGTCGGGTGGGTTTTGTGTGGTTTTAACTTGCAGACCAGATTCCAGCCTATATTATATTGTTAGCTATCCTTCTTGAGTTGATTTGTTTATTAATCATTATATGAGCGGGATATTGATACCTCAGTCCATTTCATACCCTACAAGTTTTACAAGTTTTACAAGTTTTACAAGTTCTACAAGTTCTACAAGTTTTACAAGTTTTACAAGTTTTACAAGTTTTACAAGTTTTACAAGTTTTACAAGTTTTACAAGTTTTACAAGTTTTACAAGTTCTACAAGTTTATTTACCGTCTAGATTGGTGCAAATGGCCCATTTTTTGACAATATGTTTTGAAGTCAACAACATTAGAGTCACTAGTAAGCTAGCACAGTGTAATGACTGCTAATTGCATACTGCACATAACATTTAATTATTGATCATAACATTTTAGATAAGTTTCATGATAGATTTTCTAGAAATATTCAAATGTTTTATTGTTTTATCTTTTTCTCTTTTGCAGCTGCAGTTTTTTTGTTTTCGCATCTAATTCATAGAACGTAATTTCTGTATAAAACAATATAAAAATTCACGTTGATTTGGGTAAAAAAAGATCTCACGGTCAAATATTAATAATGGATTTTCAGAAACATTAGGATATCGAAATGTTTTGTGATTGAACAGAAACAGTAAATGAATCGTCAAAAAAAAGTAAAATACATATATTAAAGATCTTTAAAAACTAGGCGCCATTACTCAGCTGGACATACACACGTTATTTAAATGAATTACAACTTAAGTCAACATTTGTTCAAGAAAGAAAAATAATCAAGATAACCGTTCAATAACTAGCATTTATAAATTCCATTAGTAAAACTGGGACTTTCAAATCGTTTCTGCCTTTTTCATCACTTTATAATTTTCCCGATTCATGCAATAATCTCTCTTCCATCATCAGACTCAGTACTCGCTCTTATCCGTTTCTTGGCACGTCCAGCTAAGTGTTCAGAGGGGGAATTTGGTCAGAAAGTAACTAAGCTGGCTACTGAACTGGGTACTTAGTTTATTTGATTCAGAGGTAAATTCCTTAAAAATGAGATTTAAATTATATTAAAGTATTGTACTATTCTTCAGGGCCTGCCAGTATATAATAACTTTAATCTAATATTCAAATCAAATTCTCAAGTCCGCTTTAAACAGGAGCATACTTCACAGAGTTACAATGTCTGCAACTTTTCCTCGTAACCTTATTCTTCAGACATTTCCTCAGCTGTGGAACACGTGCTACCAACACCCCCGGGGACAAGACAGAGAGGATGAAGAAAGGGAGGTAGCCCATCAGGTACAAACTCTTCCAGTCCTTTGCTCCGTTCTCAACACACACGCTAAAGGGCTGGTTGAGGGTGCATGACGCGCACACAATGAACACCACCCCCTTCATGATCATAGTCAGGGTGTACCTCCCATCCTTCTCATCATCACAGCTGGAAGTACCGGTACAGTGCATCACTACCTGTGTAAACACACACACAATAGTTACCCCAACACACGTAATCAGAGGCAGGGCAGTGTACAGCATGTCTATAACACATTCCGGGATGGAGGCAGCCTTATCTCCAAAGTCCTCCTCGGAGATCAACATCCTCATCATCAACTCTACCACCCTTGGCTTGCCAGGTTGGTAGAAAAACGCTATCAGGAAGCTCTTTGTGACACCACCGTTGGAAAAGGCGGCCCACCCGACGTGGTTAACATAAAGTCCCATCTCAAGAACAGCAATAGCTGCCCAGAAGAAGAGCCAGGCTATGATAGAGCTGACAACTGCTCTCCTGTTGATCCTACAGACGGGGGAGCTCATGTTGATGGAGCGGATAACTGTTACCACCATACTGACAAAAGCTAGGACCTTGAAAGCGAGGAATGAGAGGTAGTGAGCAGGGACTATGAGTAACATCAGGGTCGAGGAAGGGTCTCCTTTTGTAGCGAGAATCAAGGCAAATAGTATGGTGTGCAGACCAGCACAGATTCCCACAGCAAAGTTGCAGAGACTGAGCAGGAAACAGAGGAACGGTACCATACTTTCAATGCTCTTAACCCGGTTCCAGTAATGGTTTAACACCCCCAGGTTGAGAAAGGAGGCTGTTAGGAACAGGAAGAGAGTTCCCATTACAGTTCCCATGTTCACACCGTCTCCAAAGTAATAAGGATCAACAACCATGTCGCTCGGTTCAAGAGTGCCAACTTGGTCAGGATCAAACGTTCCTAGGGTCCCAACAGCGGCTGGATCGAAGGTTCCAAGGGTCCCAACAGTACCGTCCATTGAGGGGAGGGTGGGGGACGAGGTGAAAGAAGAGATGTTAGTGAGTAGAACAGAGGAGGCGTCCGAGTAATTCATGTCTGTGATTGCTGAAGGTAGGTAGCTGGTTACATATTTTTGAAAGAGCACTTAAAATACTATAATTAATATAAATGTACGAGAAAGCTCGATAAAACGTTTCATCTAAAACCTCTTGAAAATTGATAGGAAGGAGAATTTAGGCTGACCAAATGAAAGAAGAAACTACAGACCATAAAAACAAAATAAATAAATAATCTCAGAATCTCAAATACAAGTAATCATAAATTAAGCACAAAATCAAATTAAACAAGCAATAAATTAATAATATCACAAATGTGAGATATAGTTTTATACTCGAAAGAACAACCACGATTTCTATAATACATGCGAAGAGCGTCACAATTCTTCATAATAATGACGTAGACCAGTGACGTAAATGACGTAAAATGACGTAGAGAGCATGTTAGATCATTTTTAATGTTTATTACGTTTCGTCGTTAGGTAAACACACCCTCCTGTCAAGATTGACGTAGAACAGTAACGTGAAGATTAAATCTTTAAATTTGGAGCATGTTGAATGTTCATTACAGAAAATGAAGGCGACAAACAAATTATACAATATTATTCAATGTGAACACTAATGTGCTGCTATGGTAATGTGCTGCTATAGTATTGTGAGCGCTATGGTAATGGAACTCTGCATACGTTTACAGGTGATCCCAAATATTTTAATAACATTATACGTAGACGGACACAGATGTAAGAATTTAAAACGTGAGGTATGCCAACTGCTCGTATAATCAGAGATAAACCGAGCGAAAATGGACAAATCCAACAAAAAAATCCAACACGCGGTGTCTCAGTGTCTCACATACTGCTCACCATGCCCTAACAAAGAGACTGGCACACCACAACTTAATGAAGTTAAACAAGTGTTAAACTTCGAACCTTAGAAGGTAAATCTGTACCCAAGTTTCAATGCACCGGCAAATTAAACGACCGTAGAAGCAGCACAACAGAACGGGTTTACTACTTACTACTAGACATAGCGTTCCAGAGAATAAAATAGAGCATACCAGAGTGCTCGATCTATTTCTATAGTATCGTGACTTTAACACTGATGCTAAAGTAACGCTGATAAAGTGTAGTGTTTACCTGGCTTCCTTTATGCTGCTAGGAAGCTCGGAAGTGCGTCTGACACGGACTGTTAACTAACAACAGAATAACTGATGAAATTCAATCGGTAGAGCCTTTATAAACGGGAAAGGCAAAAGCAAAAGTGTGGGAAAAATAAAACGTTTGCAAAAATTTTAGGCTAGACATTCCTATCATTTATCAGAATACCTGTTTAAGTTTTGACAGTAGAGTTATATTTGATAGTATCACACCACTGAAAGTGACGGTTAAATGACGGCTAAATGACGGTCAAATGACGGTCAAATGACGGTCAAATGACGGTCAAATGACGGTCAAATAAAGGATAATATTGTATAAATCCCACGGTAAAATAAACGAGATGCACTCCTCCCACCCTCGTTCAACACGACAACTAGAGTGAGGAGCACGTCGGACACCCTAACTTTTAGACGTCACTCATCATGTAAATCATGTAATATTTCTTATCTTCTAAATGATGACCTAGAAGTGTCAGAACTGCTCATACCACTTCATGTGTGGTGTCATGGTAACAAGCCGTGTTCCCAAGGTAACGAGCCGTGTCACGTGATAACTTTCTTTCAGTGGGAACGTGGAATTATCATCAATTGCAATTCAAAAACAAGCATAAATAACAAGAATAAGCTCAGTGTTTAAATTGCTGTCAGCCGTGGGCGATCGATGAAATAATTGTAATGACCAAATTGAAGTTTCGTCAGCTAAAATAAACGCATGTAAGCTGTAAAGCAAACACACCTTCAAGTCAAGATTGACGTAAAACAGTGGAGCTTAAATCACTCTAACAAGCTTACGTTATAACTTTATAAGGCTAAAATAAGGATCTAGGTTAATGCTACAGGTTCGCTTTGAAAGGAGCAAATTCAACATGGTGTCCTGTTAACTAACATTGTTAAAATATCAAAAATAAGATAAGAACAGAAATGTCAGAAATGAAATAATTATAATTAATGAATCTTTCCGACCGGAAACTGATCGGTATGTGAAGATAATGTGCCAAGGAGCTGAAATTGTTACAAAATATCACCCCGAAACTCGATTATATTCATCTTTTGATAACAACATAAAGTATCAGTTTCAGTTTACACTTTACATGGTATTGGTGATAACACAACCAGTGGGCAGCATGTGATAAACACCACTTGGTAATGACAGTGGAACTGTGCTTTTCAAAGGTTGTATCTTTACAAATCATGGGATTTACCAAATCATGGGATTTACCAAATCAATAATGGGCAATAATGATAAATTGAAATTTGATAACACCACTTTTAAGATACAACTTATGCTCAGCAGTGTTTAAACTAGTCATCCCAGAAAATAATTTGAAAACTAGGTAAGTAGTGGTAGCTGATGCTTGAAAATGAATCGTGAATTTTTTTTTTTTTTATCTAGACACTTATTTTACTTCGGTGTATTCCAACAGCCACAATGTTACACAAGTGCAACCAGCCAATTACAGGAAGCCGAAGGATCTTTTTGGCCAGTGACGGTTAAGGTAGTGTGTACCATACTTTCTTCGTCCGAGACTTTGCTGCAATGTGCAGCTCCTCATTTAACCCTCACACCCGATTTCTCGAGTATTCGGCTGAGTAGACCGGGGGGCTGCATAGACCACTCATGATCCTTAGCTGAACGTCGACGACGCTCACCCCACGACCAGGCAGTCAGTGGGTTTCGAACTCGCAACCTAACGATTGTAAGACAGGCGTTCTAACCAACTGCGCTACCTGGCCGTTGAAAGGCCGTTTACTAATGCAGAAAATGATACTTGAAAAAAATATGTTAGAATCTAACAACATATTATATTATGATCAACATAGATTATCGATAAAGTTTTTCAAGTTCATTTAAGGACAGTTTAAATAAGAACGTTTTTAGGAGGGCTTTGAAAGATTCCAGGGATTGAACCGATGAGATGTTATCAAGCAAAAGATTGCAAACCTTTGGAGCCACCACAGACAAACTACGCTCACCAAACTGACAGTTAAACGATGGAACAATAAGTTTTAATGAGTGACCATGGTAACTAGTTAGTAACCATAGTAACCACGTGAAATTTCATATACGTGATACGTCAGTAAATTGTTATGAACTAAAATGCGAAGTACAAAGAATTTTATGAAATGGTAATGGTTTTAAAACTATCCGATTCTCACATTTGTTTACAACGGACTGTTGATTGGATAGTCAATACCGTTGTAGTTTTTGTCATACTGACAAAACGTGTTTATCCGATAATATCTTCTATGTTTTTCTTGTACATCATACTTGAAAATCAAGAAAATCGGCGGCCATAAAATTCCTGTTTTGAAAGTTTTCATCTGTACTTTTATCACTGACCATCGCTTTTAGCATAATATATTATACATTTTGGCCAATCTTATTATATTATGTTTGTTTGATTTGCTGTACATATTTTGTGTATTTACTATCTTGTAGTTTTAAATCAAATCAGCTATTCGTGTCAAAACATAACAAATTATTTAATCTAGGAAAACAACAAGTTGTTATACATTCTTAAAACCTTACAATTCTGTTAGGTTCCTGTAATAGACAATCAATTAACATTGACTTTATCTTTAAATAACATAATTTTATAATTTTAAAATCTGACATATTTTTTTATTAAAACAAAATATTTACCCTAACCTCGGGCACGTAGAAGTGTCCTTCATCCCCCATTACAGGATCACACACATACTTTATGTTTGGGTTCTTCTCTCGCAGGTCTGTCACCGTCCTGGCAAGTGTTTCCAAGAAAGAAGGGTCCCCAACGTATCCTGACACATTTTGCATTTGAAGTTGTTTTTGAAGTTACAATACCATAAAAAGGATAAACTGCTGTTGGAAGATGTGATTGGGCCGTTGTAAAGTTTGTGTGCTTTAAAGGTTTTATAGGTAAGATGAGATATTCTTAAAGATTTAATCAAACTAGGCGAATATTTTAAATAAACTTGACAACGCCGTGTTTAAAAGCTAATCTAATATGCTCACACGAACTTGGAAGGGTAACATACATGTTCAGTTTAATAATAACATAATCGTAACATAATCGGATGTCATTTCAGATGAGAATAGAATAATTTTATAATTATTTGCTAGGATTCATAAAAAGAAAAAAGGAAGTACAGAACCTACTTGTCACTGTAAAAGAATTTAATTAAAACCCGAAAAACTAAATTCTCACCTGTAGTTACATAATCGTAAAAGTTCAAGTTGTTTTCTTTAAGTCCAGTGTATAGATCAGTTATATCCTGTGCCTTTAAGATCTGACCCTTGATACCCTTCCTGTATCCTGTGTGGTTACTCAGCTGCACTGAGTTAATCGCGTCCACCTGAAGTATTTCTGGTGTTGTGTGTCACACACCAGGTAAAATATGCAATATTTGTGTCATAATTACTTAATTATTAAGTTATATGTTAACATAAAATTAATAAATTATTAATACTTTGTTAATAACTTGATTAATACTTAACAAATTTCTTAAATTGCACGACGAATGCGAAATAGGAGTAATTATAAGTTCGGACTAAGTAAACAAAATGTATAGGTACATTCCCAGGGACTAAGGATTGCCTTACAGATGAAACTTTAAGTTGAATCTAAACATTTAGTTTGCTTTGTCCAAACTTGATTATTACTTTATAATTATTTAATTACGTCTGAACTAAGTAAACTACATGTTCTGAACAACTGAAAGTTTCACGTATGAAAGAAAATTATCAGGGACAATACCATAATTGTGTTTTAAACGTGAAACGTTTAGTTGGTCAGAACATTTACTTTGTTCGAACGTATACACACACAAACCAGTAATTACACATTAGCAGAACGTAGATTATGTTATTTTAATACTTTAAACACTACTATCTTAGTTCTTACTATAATATATAAATAATTTGAGGCTCTAATGATGTAGTTTTACGAAGATTTCAAGCCTTACGTTGTGTGTCCAAAAGCATTAGATTATATTAATATTAGAAAGCTGCAAGTAACTAACTAGCTTATATTAGACTATAAAATTCTAACGAATTTTCAACATACCTGGAAACCATGTAAGTGAAGAGGGAACACTGATGATTTATTTCCAACATAACCGCAAACAACATGACTTTGAATTGATAGTATTCGTGGGGTGCTCATCACAAAAAAAAGCTCCCTATTTCCAGGATAATCACGATATTATCTAGTCTGATAAGAATTGCTACAATGATTAGAAAATACTAATGAGCTCTTTAGATGTATGAATAAGTTATATTACAAAATTAAGCATTAATATTATCTCATTTGAAAGATAGTGTCGTGTATTGGAGCCGTACAACAAAAGAAACTCAAGTAGGTTTTTATTAAAGTATGTAATGTTATCCATTGGAAAATCCAACACAATTATAATAGGCCGTTAAATAAAACAGCTACCAACGACTAAGTTGTGCATTGCCCCGTCAACAATCAGTCCAGTGTGATTGTTTGTGTACTAATTGACTGGTATATAAATATTATCCTAAATTGTTTTTATTTGCAATGATTTTCAACATTAATGTATAAAATTTATAATTTTGTTAATTGCTGATTTGCCATGTCAAATGTCAATGAAATCATTTATGGAAAAATTTGCCTAGAGATAAAATACTAGTTTTACGATAGACTTATCTTATGTAAAATCTGTGCATAAAAAACATATTAATAATTTAACAAAACGATAAAAAGATAAACTAGAAATGAGTATAATTTGGAATATAACAAGTCTTATTCCCAAGATTAGATTATCAAGATTCTGCAGTTCTATCAATATATTATATTCTTGACACGGAATCCAAATCTAATCAATAAATCCTTTAACCTGTTTATTTCTTGTAACCACCAAACTCGCAAGTGTACTCAAGCTCTGCCCCAATATTCACAGTTTGACGGTGAAACAGGTCGGACGTAACGTCAGACAGAAAGAGAGGAATGGATCGGTGCTGTGTTAGTTTGGAAATGTGAGCTTGTAGGTCGAGCGTCTTGGTGAAGCGACTCTCCATAAGCTGAAGGTTGTTCTTGACTCTGTAGAACAGAATGTTATCCTCCTGAGACTCCGCGAACACAGAGAGAGAGAATACTGGTTATCAGCTGGACACGTCACACTGTACCCAAACAGATCAAATATACCCTCTTTAAACTCCTTCACTTTAGCTTGGTAGATAGTTCGGGTTTTCTTCAGCGCAGCTTCACTCTCACTTAGTTTCTGCTGTGCACGCTCAAAATCACTTACAAGTGAGGAGTTCTGTGAAGATTCTACTTGGTGCTTTAGTTTTGTGTTCTCATTTCTCAGTCTTTTTAGTTCCATGTCCAACTTATCTTGGTAAGGGTTGTGTTTCATGTGCAGAATCTTAAGACCTGCTTTCTTGGGTAGATGTTGTCTGTCGTCCTCGTTTGTGGTCTGGTAGGTCTCCAGCAACTTCCTGCAACTAGCAGCTTCATCCCTGTATTCAGCGACCTTTACCTCACAGTAGTTCAGTTTCTTTTTCATCTCTATGTACTGCTCACTTTCGGTGTTAGCACGCTGTTCTAGCTGGGTGTATGTGGTCTTTAGCTCTGACAGCTCAGATGTTAGTGCGTTCTTCTCACTCTTCAGTTTCTCTAGCTGGGAAGTCAGGTGTAAGGTGTCTTTCTCCAGTGTTGAAACGGTAGAAATTATAGAGAGAGGGGAGCTCATCTTCAGCTCTGACTTAACTCTAACCCAATCCTTCAGATCAGCTGTTAAAGAATCATGTTGGTCTTTAAAGGAGTGATAATCAGTGAGCTGCTTCTTAAGGGTCCTAACCTCCTTCTCTACGTCTTCTAACTTTATCTTCAGGAGACTAGAGTTGTCTTTCTCATCCCTCATATTCTTAATATTCCTTTGCAGTCTCACATTCTCCTCTTGTATTTGAGAGGACTGTATTATTTTATCCGGGAATACACTAGCGTAGATCTCTTTGTTTTTCAGGGAATCTAGCTCCATCCTAAGTTTGAATTCTGACTGTTGGAGCTCAGTGAAATGAGATAACCTGGTGTCTATCCTCTCCATATCTGCAGTCAGGTTTGCAATTGTCATGTCCTTTAGTCCATTAGCGTTTTGTAACTTGATTATTTCAATCTCCTTCTCTTCCAGTTCCTCCTTCTGTCTCTTTGTAGCTAACCACACCTCATGTGAAGACTTCCTCCTTTCACTGAACAGCTCATCTGTTACTTGCATCAACTTTGTCTTCACTTCACCCACTTCTCCCAGAAGCTTATCATTCTTCTCTGACATATCTTTGTGAAACTTCCTGTATGCTTCAGAGACACTCTCCAATTCTTCAGTTAGATCGTTATTCTTTTCAAACAGAGTGTTTCTTTGGCTGTAGATTCTATCTCTAGCATTCTTTTCCTCCTCATCTTCCCTCAAAGAGGAATGTTTCCTCTCTTGGTCTTTGAACTCGGATTCAATCTTTAGCTTCTGGTTTTCTTCTTTCAGCTTGGTTACCTGCATCTCTAGTAGGGTGAGTTTCTTCACATAATCCACATGTTTCAGTGTTTCTACAGAATCCACACTCCTAATAGAGGTTCCGCTGTCTTCTCTGAGTCTTTTTATAGGATGTGATGTCCTGCTGCTAGAGCCAAACCTGTCTACACGTGATGAAACACTGTCAGATGGTGTTTGGAACTGATCATCTGTTCTCATCCTGTTAATAGTAGTTGTCATGCTTGAAAGTTCAAACTTGAATTGCATCTGTACATGAATTACGTGTAATGATTTGGTGGAGCTACCATTCTTTAAATGATTACATTATTATGTAAGAGGTAAATTAGCAACATAAAATCCAAACATTGCAAAATGATACATAACTGATAAGATCATCAGTAAATTTCATCAAGTCGGAAATTTCAAATTAGGCCCAACAGCCCTAATAATAAATTAATAAACTTCCATATGCATGGATGGAACCAAAGATAATCATTACAGATGATATCTCGAGTGTTCTCCAGATAATTATCTCCTTTCATTTTACTTATCATCTCATCAGACACTTTCCAATGATGATGATCACAATAAATTCCTTTTAGGACAAAATTCTTCTTATATTTCTTCTTGGAATTGATTTCATTAGTCATATTTGGGTGTAATAATCAAAATTATTCATTCAGCAAAAAGCAACCTCGAAAGAATTTTAAATATGATCTCCTTGAATATTTCTAAATGGCCTCAACCAGTGGCGTAACGTTGTCTGTTGGCGCCCCAAACACCCCAACCCTGCCCCCCCCCCCCCCCCCCCCCCCCCCCACCGAAAAAGCGCCTCCTCCCCTGTTGGCGCCCCTCCCTAAAATTGGACATTAGGGGGTTTTAGAGGGTACGCAGTAAAGTTTCTTTGCACTTTGCTCCTCCTGTGTACAATATAGTTGATAATCAAATTATACATCGAAACACGACATTCAAATAGACCGAAAAGCTAAGGAGTTCTGAGATGCATGAACAATGACACTTACAAGAGTAAAGGCTATTCTTGTGCAAATATGCGCTCCTACTAAATCGCTCGCCCAAATTTTAAGAAAATTCTTGTGAAAAGGCCCTTTGGGTATGAAATTTATCTGGATCGGTGTATTTTTGGACGCTGATTCCGAATCACCCCCCATGACGTAGGGTAAAAATGCTTCCCTGGAGAGTTCTGGGCAAAAAACCGTTTTGGTCACGTGACAGGCTAGTAAAACATGAATTCGATTGTTTAGGGCTCGGGTTAGGGTTAGGGTTGTGGTAAGGGTTATGGATAGCTTCGGGGTTATGGTTAGGGTTAGGGTTGGGATTAGGGTTTATGTAAAACCGTTTTGTACGGCTGCAAAACCATAAAAACCAAAGTCACGTGAAATTTTTGGGCGAGCGAATTAGTAAGAGCCGCAAATATGACATGATTTGCTTCAGCGCTCGATTTTTATAATACGATGTAGATTGTCGAAAATTTGCGCGGCGCGCATAAAATTTCAGTTTCACTTCAAAATAACTTTGGTAATATCAAATATTTGTATTAAAAACATTTAACGTAGTCCTTATATTACGAATACAAGATATGCGAACAAAAACTTAAGTTTTGTCATGTGCTAAGGTTTGATCATAATTTCAAAATGTATTTGTTCGCATATCTTGTATTCGTAATATAAGGACTACGTTAAATGTTTTTAATATAAATATGTGTTTTACAATTATTTCGGCGCGTACTAATTTGCAAATTTGCAAATTAGTACGTTGATTCACGATGTCAATCCTTCGCAGCTCGGTGAGGCACAGTGGTGCATTTCGCCGATCTACCGAAGTGGTTGCGAGAAGCATTATTTGATGCGCGCGCGACCCAGTAGTGCATCGCGCTACAAATTAGTACGCGCCGAAATATTTGTAAAACAGTAAACCACATTGTGATTTGTGTATAAGTTCATGTTTATTATAATCAAAATGCGATCCGACGGCCTGTAGAATTTTGCCCAACGCAACAGGCAACAATTTATTATTTCATCAATAAAATGAGACAATGCATGTTTGATGTAAACATGGAGCCGTGGTTTGATTAAAAAAAGTGCAATGCGCGGCGCTCTTTTCAATCTTTTTGCATGTACGTGAAAGTATTTGGTAATAAACTAGCAAACTAATTACATTTTTTGCTGGATTCAATACACTAGCAGGAACCCGTATAAAATAACCCTAAACATTGATTCACGATGTCAATCCTTCGCAGCTCGGTGAGGCACAGTGGTGCATCTCGCCAATCTACCGAGAAGCATTATTTGATGCGCGCGCGACCCAGTAGTGCATCGCGCTACAACCCTAAACAGTGTCCATGTCAAAACTCAAGAAACTAAAATAATTATTACCTATTTAATTCGTGTTTTTGACATCACTTGAGGGTCCAAATTTTGGGCTCTAAAATCATTATTCCTTGGCCAATTTTTATTTTTTCATGATGATTTGGAGGCCATTAAAGCATTTGACCCAGTCAAAAAAGCTTAAAGTCTCAGTTGTATATCTTTTACGCGTACGGTTTTTGCGGAAAGTCGCGTTAAAGTTGATGCCGTGGTGTTAGTAAAATGGCACGGAAAACTATCGTCTCGCTTTGTATCATGTATATAGTAAAATAATTGTAATTAAAACTAATACATGTACACTTTAGTGCAGCATCCTTATTACTTTGATTTAGATATTTACATTATTTTACATGCTCGCTTTAATTTACCACATGGCTAATCAATCATTATACATTAATATTGCGGGGGTCGTTGCATACTATTACTACTGCTTCATGACGCTTAATTGATTCACGATGTCAATCCTTTGCAGCTCGGCGAGGCCCAGTAGTGAATTTCACTTATTTACCGATTAGAGTTATTTGATGCGCGACGCGGCCCAGTCTGTTGGTGCATCGGGCTAGGCTACAATGACGCTTTTGTTTCACGATCACAATTCAAAATAAAATTGCCGCCTTTGTGCTTTGCTCACCCCGGCTGTGCCCCCGGCAAATGCATGGTTTTTGGCCGGGCCGGGGTTTACCCCCGGCGATTTGCCAAATTTTGGCCGGGGCCGGGAAGGGCCGGGGGTTGTGATTTTGGACGGGGCCGGGGCCCCGGTCGACCACTGCCACTGTAATATTTGTTCACCCATAGTTTTGATATGTTACTTAATGTTATCTCAAATCAATCGTATAACTGATGATCATCTTACAAAGACAAAAAGAAACGACCAAAGTCATAGTTTGAAGTGCAATAATCCATCAAATCTGTCAAAATTGTGTTCAGAACTTTTAACATTTGACTTTCGAATCGTTTAATCCATTTAATCCGTTTAATCTGTTTGAATGTGGGACAAAATTTGGAAATTTCATCTTCAAAAACTGAAAATGGGACAACATGATTTTGCAATTTTCTTCCGGATTGTTAAGCTTTCTGCTGTGAGCTTCCTCCGACCGAAATCAAACTTCCAGCACCGCAATCGAGTCATATGCCATCTATAATTGACTTATTAATTGGTTGCAGGTCAGACATTCAGTCAAAACTTAAACAGTGAATTTACGGTCCTGGAAATTTCATCTTCAAAAACTGAAAATGGGACAGAAAATGGGACAACATGATTTTGAAATTTTCTCCCGGATTTTGACTTCCAGTACCTCTTAATTTGGTTTCGTACCATCATCAATTAACTGACTAATTGGTTTCTGGGCAAGAAGTTCATCCAATCTGTCAAATTTGTGTTCAGAAATTTTTAGAAAATGTGACAAGAAACTTCTTACCTTTGATCCCATGGCCCATTAATTGCAAAACCCTACCTTTCCTCTTGACAAGCCGTCTAGATTCCGTTTAGTATACAGTATACCTTACCTTTGATACCTTTGATCTGCTTCATCGAAACTCGACAGGCCATCAGAGTTGCTGACCACCCCAGAGAGAAGATGCCTCTCGATCGTTACGCCAGTCCAGTATAGAATTGGAGTTCGGTGATGTGAAGCCCCGGATTGGCGGTTTATCCGGCAAGGAAAGCATGAATGCCGTCATATGATGCTTGAAGCCATCATGTTTGGAGACTGCACGTATGTGCGAAGGTATACAGTTCCAGAGTCTGGGACCCATTACACCAAATGATGTTTCATATAGAGTCTGGTGAGCAGCTGAGCTTTTTGTACGGACAGCTGGAACCTTAGCAAGGGTACCCAATCGTGGATTTACTGTGAACTGTACTTCAAGGTCGTTGGATGTGAAACCATGTAGGATTTTCCACATGTGCATGACAATGTAACGTTCTCTGCGCCTCTGAAGTGACATGAGGGACAGGGTTTTTAGGCGATCCCAATAATGGAGATGCTGTAAACCATGGATCTTTGAAGTGAAAGTTCTTTGTACACTTTCAAGCTCCTGAATTTCATACACTTTCGCCGGATTCCACAGAGGAGAGCAATACTCTAAGTGGCTACGGACTAGTGACTTGTATAGTGTTAACATAACACCAGTATTGCGAGAGTGGAAGACACTGAATACCCATGCTGCCATCTTCCTCGCTTTATCACAACTAGATCGTATGTGTGATGTCCAGGACGTATCACTGGATACTGTTATACCGAGATCACGGAGCTGATCCACAGGACTGAGTATAGTACCAGTTGATGTTCTGTATTGGAACTGTTCATGGACAAAAGGAAGCTCATAGAGAGGATTACGTTTGTTGGCAAGATGGCATATGTACTCAAACTTATCCTCATGTAGTGCCATGTTGTATAGAGTACCATATCAGGAATTGTTAACGTTCTTTTTGTTGTTGATAGTAATGGTAATTGATAATAATCCATGGAAATAGAATGACATATATATCACATATTAATCCAATATACCATTTATTATGAATAATTATGCCAACATGTCATTTACTATTAGTAGTCCGTGAACTGGGTCGGGCTTCTTGGAAACTGCCTCATACGTTATGTTATCTTCAAGCCAAAGTCGTTCACAGATATTTTATCAATTGTGATCGATATTGTTGAGAAGCCAGAAAAGCAATAAACAATGACCTATGACCATCAGTGACCATTCAATGATCATCAGCAATATTCTTTTTTTGATATTGTCTTGGATATTTTGCATCGCCTGAGCTAAGTACCGCTATAAATAGTTTTTATCAACAAAGGATGCTCCCTCTCGGAGAAGAAGCGATATGATAAGCAGTATTCTTTGGTCTAAAGAGAGCTATTGAAGCCTCCCTCTTGAATTCACTAACGGACAAAGATACGATCCTTATTCCTTATGGATCGTTCTGTTAGATCACACTATTACTATACCTGTATATGCTGCATGCTACAATGGAATAACTAAAAAATGCAGATCACCATTTTGATTTGCAGTAACGTTAAACTTCAAGCATGCATCAATAATTTCACTAAAACTAATGTTAGGAAAACCACGCTTCGTCTTCAAACATTTCTTTGGCAAAATGATCCGAATCGGATCATCCGATTATATCCCCTTTATGTTGTGCCGTTTAAATTTATCTTTTTCACAGTGCACTCTTTTATAAAGCGCCATTATTCTTATTCTAAGTCAAGCAATTCTTGTAGAACATATTTATTAACATAACGTAACTGTGAAATTGTGATTTGAAAGCTATGTTTTTATGCATAGCTTTAATTTAGCAAGTGATAGATAATTTGCAGAAGTGGGAAGAATCGGTTAAATGAGAACGATCATGAATCTCCAACTTGTTCTTCTCGTTTCTTTATGTCTCGCTACAAAGTCACACGAGGGTAAGAATGGAAATATCATTTCATTTTTAGAAAAGATTTTATCAACAATATACAGATGGACATTTTCATTTGGTAAACCCATGTTATCATATAGCTAGTACAGGTACGGTTACATTCCTCTCAAAAACACCGTCCTCTATAAGCTTTTAATGGATAGCCGAGTTCTATACAGAGGTTAACCAAACTTAGCACTGTCTGGATCAGGTCTAAAGGATAATTTACTTAATGCCTTCTTAACCATACCATATTTCGAT